TGTGTGTGTGTGCGCGCGCTTGTTTTTATTTGTGTGTGTGTGTGTGTGTGTGTGCGCGCGCTTGTTTTTATTTGTGTGTGTGTGTGTGCGCGCGCGCGCGCGCGCGCGCGCGCTGAGTGCAGTACCTGCGGAGGCCAGAAGAGGGCATCTGACCCCCTGGAATTGGGGTTACAGGCAGTTGTGAGCCATGTGGGAGCTGGGAACCAAGCTCTCATCTTTCGTAAGAGCAGTAGGTGCTCTTGACCACTGAGCCATCTCTCTCCAGCCCAAATTAAGTCGCTTTGAATTTTCACACAAGCACTTGCTTCCAGATAATTAGAGGTGGGACGGCATATGGAATTTTTAAGAAACGGTCCAACTTTTCTAAAGTGGTGTCACCATTTTATGTTCCCATCAGGACAGGTGAGTTTGGATTCTCCACATCCCTGTCAACACAACGTGTGGAGTCTTTTTCCTGTTAGACATCCCGGGAGCTTTCTTTTCCCATCCCTTTGCCTATGTGGGGAAAGGGTACCAAGTAAGGGCATGACATGCGTAGGGAGCAGGGAACAGGAGATGGCTGGCTCCGGGTCAGCAACAGAGATGCTTGTCTGGTCTGTGCTCTGGAGCCAGCCCTGTCCTGAGCATTTCCCACGGGCCACCTGCCACATGTTACCTTCTTGCCTTCTAGGCTAGGGATCTATCTATGCACGAGGCAAGAGTTCTTCTATAGTCTGTTCCAAAGTCATACAGATCAAAACGGGGGGGGGGGGGAAGGCAGGATAATGAGGTAGATTCTCTTCCCAGGGGCCTAATTTCTCTGATCCCTGGGAGAAAACATAATGGGACAGGGAGGGGGGCAGGGAGGACAGTCCAAACTCATTCTAGAAATGACAGAGGCAGCTTGTCCTGCTGAGGAATCCATCTTGTTCTGCCTCAAGAGCAATACGCCCCTTCTACTAATTTGGCCAGGATATGTAATTTTTACAAAGGCATAAAGACTGTCGAAATCAGGTTGAGGCCCTCAGACATTATGAGCAGGCAAACCCACTGTGAAAATAATGGATTTTTGGTCCAAGCTAACACATCATCAAGTCAGCTACACATTCGGAGAGCGCATGCAGGCTGACTGTGGTGCTGAACTTTGGAGGAGTCAAGCGTTCATACCCCTTAAGGCAAGAGTGAGAAAGAATCAGAAGCACCTACCTGTGGCTGCTGGGAAGAACACCCCAAACACAGTGAAGAAAGACTCCCCGGGGCTGTAGTCCGGCAGAGTGTTGTTCTCTAGCAGTTCTGGGGAGTATCCAACGAAGCCGTGTTCTGAAACGACATGAAGGAGTGCCAACAGAGCAGAGTGGACAGATCCTGCAGGGTGCCCAAGGCGGTAGCATGGTTTATAGCATGGTAAATAGTCGCTTCCTTCTCTTTGAGACAGTGACACACTCTGTAGCCCAGGCTGTGTGGCCTGGGCTAGCCTCAAATTTACTATGATTCTCCTGCCTCAGCCTCCCGAGTTGCTGGGATTATAGGCATAGGCCACCACGTGCTGGTATGTAACACTGAACACTTAAAGGCAGGGTGTGTGTGAGAGACAGACAGACAGACTTGGAAGCCTGACTTGTGTATCTGTACCTATAGCTACACAGGAATGAAATGACATAAGAACA